GATATGCATGTATGCTTTACATACATGTACAGGTCAGAGTTCGTTATAGTACAATTATCTATGTTTATCTATATCTACATTTTCAGTTGATTCAATTCATGAAATTGGGTAATTGCTCCTCATTTTTGTTTTATTTCATCTCATTGAATATCGCTGGATTAGCGAACATTTTAGTCATGTCTGGAATGACAACCTTTTCCTCAGTGATCCCATGACAAATGCACCACATTGAGGTCTGTTTCATTTTCAATAACTTGTTAGTTCCTGTTCTAACAAAGTTGAAAGGAGACTTATAATTCGCTCTCTGTTCATCCATCCATAGTTATATCTCACAACCCTGTGGACCAAATCTGTTCACTCTTTGCATGTGCCTAATGCTTTATCTGGGACTGGTTTACTGATTTAAATCAAGATGGTTGACTGACAGCAATTTTGTTTTTTTGAAATTGCGGTATCTAATGCATGCTTTGTTGCATGCTTTTTTGTTCAAATTATACATGTACATGTTTGTGATGATTTGTTTTGCAGTTGCATCAAAAATGGCCAACTAGAAGCCATTCCAAGGCTTAGGAATCATTTTCATTTATATTTGTTCAGATCAAAAATGGCCAACCGGCGGCCATCTTACTTTTTGACCATACTATTATTATGTCAAAACGTATCTTTGACATGGGTTTTTCTCTTCAAATTGTACCATATACTTCGAATTTGGAAGAGTAATTTAATACATCTACCGGTAATTTCTGTTGATTCTCAATTACTAACTATGCATATTACTTACATTTTTTGGCATGAATAACATTTCCCCTAATTCCAACGGGGACTATGCCATTAACAATGACTTGTTCTTCTAGGGCTGGATAAATATATATCATACTATGTGTCTGTGATGGCTATCAATAATGCTGGCACTTCACCTCTCTCAGGAATTCGTATTGTTGATAAAACAACGGGTAAGGTGCCTTGCCATAATACTTTTAATATTCGTCCATATAACTATATAATATGCAAAGTGGTCACATGCTTAAATTTGCATCAATGTGATAAGATAGATGCAGTTATGCATATATTAGTTTACCTAGCATGTTGTGTCTATAACACAGCTCCTGGAGAACCGAAGATAAAGGATGTGAAATCTATTTCTGAAGACACAATTGCTATATCTTGGGAAGAGCCTGACAGACCAAATGGTGCTATCAAGAATTATGTCTTGTCCTATGCTGCTAGTCCACTCATTGGTGGAGAACATCAACAGTGGTAAGTTGCATTCTGGGTAATTATGTCTTGTCCTATGCTGCTAGTCCACTCATTGGTGGAGAACATCAACAGTGGTAGGTTGCATTCTGGGTAATTATGTCTTGTCCTATGCTGCTAGTCCAACCATTGGTGGAGAACATCAACAGTGGTAAGTTGCATTCTGGGTAATTACGTTTTGTCCTATGCTGCTAGTCCACTCATTGGTGGAGAACATCAACAGTGGTAAGTTGCATTCTGGGTAATTATGTCTTGTCATCTGTTAGTCCAACCATTGGTGGAGAACATCAACAGTGGTAAGTTGCATTCTGGTAATTATGTCTTGTCCTATGCTGCTAGTCCAACCTTTGGTGGAGAACAACAACAGTGGTAAGTTGCATTCTGGGTAATTATGTCTCGTCCAATTCTGCTAGTCCAAGCATTGGTGGAGAATATCAATTCAATTTTGTTTCAATTCTTTGTATCATTTCTCTGACATGCCTTGACCAATTTCATACAGAGACGAGACTTACTGCTTTATATACAATTTGTTTTTCGTTTACTTCATTTACATTTGACCAACGGGCAGCCACATTTGTTTTTCAGGCATATGTGAGCCTATTACATTCAAACGTGTCAGTGACATCACTTTTGATGCAGTTCTAGTGCATTCATTTTCTTTTGGGATTCCATCCAAATGACCGACTGGTAGCCATTTTTTTTTCATTATTACATGTCCTACCCAATTTGCTAAAACAAAAATTTTTTTTTTTTTTAAACTGTCATGGTTAGTACATATTCACTTCAATCAAGTTTTGATTTTTATGACAATATTTAAAATTGCATTTGTATTCCAGGCATCGTATCACAGTCAACAGTTCAGTATTCTATTATGAAGTAAGCAACCTGAAAAGTTCTGTTCGATATGAATTCAAAATACAAGCTAAGAATAGTGTGGGTTTTGGTGGTAATTCACACACCGTTACAATGTACACCAAGGAGTCAGGTAAGATATACATAGTGTCTGTGTCTAGACTGTCATTAGATATTAAAAATGATCCCGTTACATGTGTTCCTTTAACTCTTTGAGTGCCAATCGTTTTAAATCAAGATATTATTGTGCATTTGGTTCAAAGTTATCTACTGTAAAAGGCTTAATTATTCACTGGGTTTTAATTTTGCTTATTTCACTGACTGGAAAATGCACTAAATTAAAACCCAGTGAATATGTCAAATTGTTTGCCCATATTACCATGAATTGCAAACCTCATACTTATCCAATAAATTTTATAATACCCAGTCTTTTGATAAATTTATAAACTTGTTACTTCTCAAAATTCGGACATTTTATAACCACTGGCTGCATACATCTTTCATGCATTAAAACTTAGGAACGAGATATGTGATTTTATTTATAATAATATTCTTCTTGTACATGTATTTTTATTTGATGGCTGATGGCCTTGAATTTGTAACTAAAGACCATTGATTACGCTTGATAACAAAACATGGCTCTCAAATGGGAAATCAACATGCCAGTAAAATGTTGGCCAGCTCAAAGTCTTGCAAATCTCAGGTTAACAAGACACACTTACTGTATTTGGATTGCACCTAAAGAAATCACTGGCGGCCATATTTATTTTTAAATGCAGTTTCAGATCCATATACTTGTATCTGACAATGACTTCATGTTGTTTTTTGTTTTTTTTTGGTTTTATCACCCTTATACTCAAGATGGTGACCATTTTATTGTTTACCATAAATAATTTCTACCTTTGTTTATTATATTCAAGTCCATTTTTACATCAAGACAGCTGTTATTATATGAAGTATTGATCTCTATGTAGTATTCTATTTCAAATTATGTTACTTACAATTACTTTTGTGTTTGTAGAACCGAATGGTCCTGCAACCAATTTAACTCTGCATTCTATAGAGACTAATCCGCACAGTTTATCAGCCAGTTGGATCCCTCCATGCCTTGATGATAGAAATGGAATTATCCGGGGCTATATCATCAAATATTGCCCTCATGTCACGAATGGTAACATCTCTGGTCAGAAATACCCATGTAAAAGTATGTACTTTTTGTGTCTTGCAATGCATGCTTATATTTTTTTTAATTGTCCTGCTATGCCTGTCTTACTGGTACTTGCAGTTTGAAAGGTATAGATGAAGATTATATATTCGTTATTTTGACAAGGATTTGTTTTACTTTTTTGTTATACCGGTAGTGTTCTGTTACAAAATAACAAAATATTCCAAAATTACAAAATATGCACAGTACGGAACAGTGATCTCTTATACGAATTGATTAATGTGACCTTGGAGTATGTGGGTACCCAGAACTGAGCAAGATGATGATTCATGACCTTTTTTTTTTTCAATCGTGTCATCTTGGAAATATTGCATAATTGGAATTCTCATTTCCTTAAATAAAGTGGGATGCAGTTACCCATGGATACTGCCAAATTTCAGCACACTGTAATTTATGGAAAATACGATGAAATAAGCATAATAACGATAAATAAACATGTTGTTTTCCCGTTAGATGAGACAATATCTCAAGTTAACTATACTGTACTCAATCCTGAATCATTGGAATCCAGTGCATCCACTTGTCACTATGACATCACTAATCTACGTCCAAATACGGAGTATGCAGTGTGGGTTTTGCCGTTTAATAATAAAGGTCTAGGAAGCGAGGCAACAAATATTGTGACTACAAGAACCAGCGAAGGACGTAAGCATTGTCTTTTATTTCAACCTGCTTTATTAATATTAACCAATTATTTCGTATATATTTTATATTGCATGTGTTCGAATGTACAGTGCAGTATGCATAGTATCGGGTGCATATGGAATGCATGTGATTGCGACAACCACCTTAGTTACATTCGATATTATAAAATTATTAAATATTTTACTATTCCTAACCAGTGGTATGAAATTTCATATATTTTTGGTTATGAATGAAACATGATGATTCATTGAGTGTTCTTCAAACATTAGATGAACTGCAGTTTATAGCTAATATATTCTTGTTTCCTGTTTCTTTTTCCTTGTAGCACCTGAAGGTGTACCTGTGAATTTGCAAGTACAAATTGTGACTGCTTCAAAACTTGCTATTATGTGGGAACCGCCAAAAGAACCGAATGCTGTCATTACTTACTACGACATCACAGTAGTCCCATTGAATAGTTCCAACTGTCCCACAATAGATATGCAATCCACAGCATATACTGTCACATTCTCAGATCTATGTGGGTTTGAGATGTACAAGGTGATGGTGAAGGCTTGCAGTGAATCCAAGATACCAACAGGACCATGTGGCAACCATTCATCACCGATATATGTAAGAACTGAGATTGGAGGTGGGTTTTCTTTCTTTTTGTTATTTAAATATACATGTACTGTGAAATACTTTATTTTCGCTTGGAATTCATTTTCGCTATTTTCGCTGAAGCAACGATTCAGTGAAAATAAAATCCAGTGAATATACCGTTTTTCCTATATTTCACATTTAACTCGTCAGAAATCAGTGAAAAAAAAAATTCCATGCAAAACACCCAAAAACATATTGTATCGAAAATCAATTCCAGCCAAAATAAAGTATTTTACAGTAATGTGTCTTTCCCTTCAGTATCTGTATTATTGTAGTGTGACACACTGGTGTCTACTTTGTTTCTATGACCATTCAGGATAACCATCGCATTATTTTTTGCTGATATCTTATTTAACTATAAACAGACATTGACAACCGTTAGAGTGCACTATACCTACTTGTCAAATTGAATCGATTAGACAGTTTCTGAACATTTGATTCATGCTCCATATCGCAACACTTTAATTAATATGCGCATGTTGTTATTATGTTAATATTATTTTTATGTTTTTGCACGATGTTATTAATGGAAACAACACAATCATAATACGAGACAACAAAACAGAAATAATATCTCAATCCCAAAAAATGAACACAACAATCGGTACATTTTCAATATCTCATTTAGGTCCAAAATTATGGAACAGTCTACCCATTACATTGAGAATGTAAAATAAATTAATTTTTAAAATTAAAATATAAGAAAAGCTATTATTAGAATATTTGAAAAGATTGTTTATATATTTTACATATTATCAGTATTATTAAAATTTGGTATGTCGTTTTTCCTTCTTTTATTTGTTTTACTATTTCAGTGTCTAATGTCACTATAATATTTAATTTTTATAAAAACATGTACAAGGGATCTGACTCGATTAGCTCTGTAGATATTTCAGGTTCCTTTTACTCATGACAATTTTCATTACAACAGTGTTTATAAATATTCATATGTGTAACAAATATGGGTAAAGAAATAAATTATTATTATTATTACTTTGTTTAATTGGTAACCTTGACAATGGCTTTGATTTCTGGAGCTTATGATTAGACAGTTGTCTGAATGGAGGTTCATATTTGTTGTTGTTTGTTACAGCTCCTGGTATTCCTAGGAATGTTATCGCTGCCGCTGAAGATTCCTCTACTATTGAAATTGTGTGGTCTCCCCCAGAACGGTAAATGTTATTAACATGTTTATTTTAAAGATGGTTGTATTTGGGACTGGATTTTTTAAAACTTTTAAATATTCTTTGTGATTGGCTGTTTCAAATTATGAAGAAGGGAAAATTGGGATATCTGAAAACTTTTTTTTGAAAGACGACCTTTCACTCTGCAAATTTTTAGTGCTTTTAAAAATATGCACAATATTACTAGTTAGCATCATTCATCATTTAAATAGTATGCATGTACAAAGTTTCATTTTTTTTTGAGCGAACTTCTAAATAATGATGAAAATTAGCTTTCAAGTCAACTAAATTTTACTATAAAATTACTGTATTTTGTCTTGCAGACTTAATGGTCCTCTAACTGACATGACATACCAAGTATCCTGCTGGAATAAGATCAATTCTGAACCTGTTATACTTATTGTGGAAAGTAATGAAACCAGGATACGAGCAGACTGTGATAACATTAATGAAGGTGTACCAGGCATTTGTACTGTGCAAGCAATCAGTGCTGAGGGACAGGCAGGAGCTGTCGTGAATGTGGAACCTGAACCACTTGTATGCTATAATCCTGAAGGTAAACCTACATTACAGTAAACCTACATTGATAAAATGGACTGGTCTATATTTCTTGTGGCTGGTCTTTGTTTTGGTATCACGCGAAGTTCTCAGATAAGAGTAGTTCCCTTTGTTTCGATGAATTTCCAGATTGTATAATACATGTACCGGGAAATTGTAGTTGTAGTACCCCGGTAATTGTACTAGGAAACAAGGTTCAATTTTTTTTTTAAAGGGTATTTTGTAGGTTTTTTATCTAAAATTTAAACAGTGCTGTCTTTCTGATTTTGTCACGGAATAAGAAAGTTTTTAAATTTTTAATTCTCTGAACACTATAATTATTCCCACCACCATTTTGGTGCTAAATACTGTCAAAATTGTATGCATTTTTGGGAATTGATATGTTAATTTTGGCTCAAATAAATATATTTTATGTTGTCTTGCAAGTCTTATGCAAGTCTTGATCAAATTGTTTTGGAAAAATTGGAAAATTATATTTAAGGGTTAATCAGGTTGTTCACAGCAACCTAAATATTTAAAAAAAAATATTTTCTTATCATATTAGACATGCAACATTAAAAACAATTAGCTTTTCATTTGTGTTGAAACTAGACATGGGTAGGACAGAGTTTAACATTTGAATATGACTGATTAATCAACTATTAAAACCAGCTGTCAAAAATCATCTTTGATAATTAGCATTATTATACAGCTTGGCGTAATTTTGCGGTATTGAATAGGGTATTTTCATCCTACCATATTAGGAAATGTTGAATTCAAAATTTTGAACGATTATATGCACATGAGCATCCTCTAATAATAATAAAAAACAAACATGGCTGCCTCCAGGGTTTGACCGGACTCACACAAAGAAATTTGCTAAATCTGTTCTAACTGTTTTGGATTTCGGCATTCCCATGATGTGTTCCTTGGAGGTGTATAATAATAAGGTTATTTATTACGAGGAT